GTCTATTTATTTACTGTGTTTAATGCCCCGTTAACGCGTAGTTAATTAAAATCGCTCTCAGCATTTAAATCGCCGCTTGTAAGGAATTCGGATTCCGGAATCCGTGAAATTTTGCCTATGGAATCCGGAATCCGAGAAAATTTTGCTTGTGCAATCCGGAATCTTGGGCTTTGGAATCAGGAATACAGCTCAAGGAATCCGGAATCCCACTAACGATTGAAATCCACCGACAAAGACCGGAATACGGTACTTGGAATCCAGAATCCAAAACTGTCTTGGATTCCCTTAATAACAACAACAACAATAATAATGATGATAATAATAATAATAATAATAATAATAATAATAATAATAATAATAATTACAGTTCTTAAAAACGCATTCTTCATATTATATATATATGTCTCGATGCTTTTTACAACTAGAAGAGAGAGCTCTCACGAAACAGTTCGGTTTTCAAAGCCCTTTTAAAACTATCAACAGAGTTACTTTGTCTAATGGCAAGCGGTAGCTGATTCCATAACTTCGGAGCAATTGCCGCAAAAAATCTCTTTCCGTAAGCAACTGTATTAGTCTTGGGGATAAGTAGGAGGTTGGAATCACTAGAACGAAGAGAACGACATGCAGGGAGTGTAATGATTCGTTAATATACACCGGGGCAAGGCCATAAACAGACTTGTACGTAATCAACAGTAACTTAAAAGTTATTCTGTCATTAACAGGAAACCAGTGCAACTTTTTTAAAACAGGAGTGATGTGATAAGTCTTCTTCATGCACACAGTTAATCTTGCCGCGGTATTCTGCAATCTCTGAAGGTTCTCAATTTCACGAGAGGGAATTCCATAGTGCAAACTATTACTAACAACAATCCAATTTCGATAAAACGAAGGCATGGACAATGCGCTCAGCATCCGCTTGCTAAAGATATTTTCTGATTCTGCCAATAGAATGAAACGAACGCGAAAGAGCGCGACGCAGGTGTTGTTGACAGGGGGAACAAAGGTGAGGTGTGAATCAAGCGTGACTCCAAGGTCTTTGACAACACTAGTAGGCTGAACATAATGATCACCGACTTTACTCGAACCAATCGGTTCAGCAGGTGAAAAACGCGAAGAGAAATTGATAATCTCAGTCTTTGACAGATTACATTTAAGCATATTGCATAAATTCCATAACATGGGTCGATTTTAAAGCAAGTTCCCATAATGATCTGAACACTCTTCCATACCGACAACTTGGATAAACTCTCTGAACTGTACGCTCAGCATGCCGATCTATCCGCTGGTTAATTATTTTCCGATTGCTAGCATTGGATACTGCTGAGGCTCCCGGGGG